TCTCAACCTTCCTAATACTGAGACCCTTTAATCTTATGGTGGTGACCCCCCAACCATAACATTACTTTCGTTGCTACTTCATAGCTGTAATTTTGCTACTGTTATGAATCGGGTGACCCTTGTGAAAGGGCTGTGCGACCCCCAAAGGGGTCCCGACCCACAGGTTGAAGAGCCTCTGCACAAGTTTCCCTTTGGCTCCTTGCAAGCAGGATGCAGCCTAGCTTCTGCATGTCAACCGCTTCCCTACAGTTGCCTATGTTTCATGGGCTGATCAGCTTGCAGTTGGATGGATATAATCCACAGAAACCCCAAACTTCTGTGGATCTTTTATGAATGGTTCTGAATGCATGAAGTGTATGCACAGCTGTCAATTCTAACCTTCACATCAGTGTTATGGGGTAGCAGCGGTGTGCTGTTGAGTCGGATTATATGGTGGTGTATGCTACAGTGTAATCAGGTTCAACTACAAAAAACAAATGAAGCAGTGGGGCTCTTTGATAAATAATTAAGAAGTCCTAAATCTGTAACTGTTCAAACTTTGCAGAAGCAAATAAATTGCTAAGCTTATTAATGGGCACGCACAAACCACAAACTACCATATAGTGTAGTTACACTGAAAAGGAAGGTACGTTATATGACCTTGACAGACCAGGTTTTGGAAATAAAATCCAAAATTAAAAGACAAGCTCAGGCTTGAAAACATTTTACTTATTACTCTTAAGTACAAATTTGAGGATTGAAAAAAAAATCTACATCTACACCATGTTTCTTATGCTTATAATAATTTATTAATTCCTGTGGGCAGAGTTCTCTATATTCCCTTTAATCATCATCTCTAAAAGTAAGAAATACTGCTAACTAACATTTGGCGCACCCCACCTACAGTAAAATAACCTAGTCCTTCTGAAGCACTAGGGAGTTTGAGCTTGGGAGAGATAGGATGGTCTAGAAAATGAAAACAAAGTCATTAGCACTAATGGGTACAGAAAGGGTGCTAAGGGTGCTGTGGGAGTTGAAGAGAGAAGGATTATTACCTCTGGCTGTGTGAAGCCTGGGAGAATCCAGGAAAAAGGCTGCACCTGGGATGGGAGAACTGTGGCCATGTGACAATGGGATGGGGGATGGGAGAGACAGGCGAGGATAACCAGGTGCAGAGAATAACACACACAAGCAATGGCACTGGGAGGATATTAAGTTCGGTCTAACTATTCTGCAGATTGCGTGAAGGGCAGTAATGTGAGCTAAGATTGATAGATGATACTGCATATGGAGCTAATGAGTTTGGCCTTTCTTCGGACAACAATGGGAGATCCACTACAGTTTATTTTTACAGAGAAGAGGCACGGTGAGCCTAATCTATCTGAAGTGTCCGCGATGAATTCCAGTGGCAGAGGGTGGCTGCAAGGTGACATTTGTGGGAGCAGCAGCTCAGAAGGGTTGTGAAGGACGAGCTGCAGGGAGGAGGGAGCAGTCTCAGTTAACACCCAGCAGACAAGTAAAGGAGGGGCAAGGCCAGGGAACAACTGAACAGCTGAAAGGTCTCCTGTAAGCCTGTGCTCTGGGCAGGCCTCCTAAGTCAACTGCAGCAGGGCAAGAAACTAACCCTTGGAGCACAAAGTCCCAGACCTCCGAATTCGACAGAAAAGGCGGAATCACTGGAAATGCTAGTGCGGGAAGTTAAATCACAGATCCCGTATAACCATTCTCTCAATTTAAAGATAAGAAAACTAGGTCCAAGAAGGTTAACGGACTTTTCCAAGGGCCCTCAGCAAATCAGCCGTAGAGCCAGAAGTCAAGTGCAGGTCACGCACACAGACCAGCGCCTGCTCCTCAAATGGTGCTGTTTTCTTCCCACTGGCTCGGGTGTACCATTCTTGAAAGGCCTGATGATTTTTAACTGTTTCGGTGACCACCTCCACCATACGTTTCCTTTAAGCCCCACAATACACCACCAATCCGATGCAGAAATCCCTTCCTGCCTCCCCTTCGCCAAAACCACACCAGTCCTGGACCCATGAAGTCCACCTAGATGAGTGGTTCTCAACCTTCCTAATGCTGCGACCCTTTCATACAGTTCATGTTGTGACCCCCCAACCATAAAATTATTTTTGTTGCTACTTCATAACTGTCATTTTGCTACTGTTATGAATCAGGCGACCCCCAAAGGGGTCGCAACCCACAGGCTGAGAACTGCTGACCTAGCTAGATGAAATCCTGTTAGCTCGTCCCCCTGCAGCGCCATCTGGGTGATACTGTCGCTGCGCATTGTAAGCACTGTTACTGGGCCATGTGCTATAGCTCCTTCCTGCACTGCTGCCAGTCAAGAAGCACAAAGGGGTTCCAGAAGCAAGGTGCTGAATTCTGCTTTAACTGAAGCCTCTGGCTGATTTAAAAAGGAGCCCTGTGCTGCTCTGAGAGACAAAGATGTGGCAATATGCTGTTTCTATAAAAGATTACCGCCTCAAGAATCCAAACAGGCACTTCTACTCTGTCCCAGAGGGTTGCATGAGTCAGAATTAACTTGAGTACCAGAGCTCAGAGCACCAAATTAAACCCCGACAAAAGGCACCTTGAGGAGATGGAGTGGGGAAGGTTTTGCCAAGACCTTAACTATAAGAAGTCTGTCGCAGGGCACCACCATTGAACTAATGAATTACGCCTTCTTAGCCTTCAGTCTGAGGAGTCCTGGTAGCGCAGTGGTTATGTGTTGGGCTGCTCACTGAAGGTCAGCAGTTTGAAACCACCAGTTGCCCTGTGGGTGAAAGATGAGGCTTTCTACTCCCGTAGAGTTAAGTCTTGGAAGCTCACATGGGGAAGTTCTACCCTGTCCTACAGGGTCGCATTGACTCCGTGGCAGTGAGGTAGGAGAGCTTCGCTCTGTCCCAGGGTGGCACAATTAGTTCAATGTGGTATCGCACTACTCAAAGGATCAGTTTATTTTACAAGAAAAACATTAAATTAAAAAAAAAATCACATTTCAGAGCAGACAGTACAATCTGGATTATTATGATATTTAAGGAAAATTGACAAATGTGTTCCAATAGGAATACTGTAAGTTAAAGCTGTATTACTATTCTATTTCTCTTCCGTCTCTTCCTACCATCCACAGACTTCTTTTTTCCGTCTTTGGGTTAAAAAAGCACTTGCGGGGGACAACCATAACTGTCTCTCCCCTCTGATCAGCACCACGCTCAGCAGGGGAGGCTGGGTCTGTCCAGGTTCCACTCTCAATGCCCTCTGCACCGTGGCTACTGACTGTTACTGAACGCCCCCTGCACAGAGGCCCGTGAGCTTTGTTTACCTCATCTTTATAATCTGCTTATGAGAAAGGAACATGCCATGCCTCTTTCCTTCTCTGAAGAACACCACAAACAGTACATGGTCAAATTAAACAGGAATGTACAATGCCACTAGTGTAGGCCAGACACTGAGCCGATGAGATGAATGAGAGTCCGATATCTTTATCCGACCTATCCTAGTTGGGGTAGAAAAGAGAGGAGGGAGGGAGAAAGAATCCAAAACAAGCCAAAATGAGTCACATTCTGGGGCAGCTTCTCTCCATCCTGGTGGCATGGTTCAAACCCACTAGCCACTCCGCAGAACAAAGACAAGGCTATTTGTTTCTGAAAAGAGTTACAGGTTCAGAAACCATATGCATAACATTCTGCTGCTCTGTTACAGAGGGCGGCTGATCGGCTGATCAGGTTTGAACGGAATTGACAGACAGGCCTTTGGGGGGACAGTCTCCCCAGCAACTACAACAATGCCTCATGCAGAAAGGTTTTCAACTAGATCCTTGGCTGAATGACAGCGAAAAATTAGGAGACAATGTGATGAATACTTTAATACACGATATGGGAAAGTGGGAAAAGGTAGAGAAACAGGAGAGTGTGAAGTAAGGCTTGGCTAGAGAGTAAAGATTGGCTGGCACCTGGCATTAAAACAGAATCAGAAAAAGCAAATGCACTAGAAGACAAAA